CCTAAGCCTAAGGCTTTGAGGCGCTATGGCGCCCCCTGCTGGGCGGTTCTAAGCCCACGCCTTTGCGGTAGGCGGGCTGGATCTGTCAGCTCATTTCTTCCCAGCTTCATTTGCATCATGGCAGCTCGGGGCCTGGGCGGCTCAGGCCTGCTTGCGCAGAATCTATCGTGCCTTCTTCTCCTTTTTTCGACCGACTTGCGGGCACGGCAGGCCTGTTAGTGCCGGGTGGGGGAAACCAGTGCGGGGCTGCAGGCAGCCCAAGGGCAGGTACGTCCTCGAAAGGCAGAGGCGAGCGAGGGTGACTGAGCCTGGCGGCCAGCGAAAGGGGAAATTTGCCAGGGGGGTGGTTGGTGACCCGCACCGTGGAAAGCGGGTTGGGGTGGGATGGACCCGAGGTTTTGCATGGCCCCGAAAACTCCCTGCTAGGAAACGAAGCGTGGAAGAGAGGCAGAAGATAACCGTCTGCAGGATGAAACCGGAATCGGCTGACTTAGCCGGCTCCTCCTTCGAGACACCGTGGCTGCTGTGCAAACACGCCTCTCTCGTGGCGCCCTTTGCATCAGTGCTTGTTTTCTCATTGCTGAACATTTTAAGGGCTGGAGCCTCGTGGCTCCTCTCTTGGCACACACAGCCTTGTATGCATGTTTTCCTCCCGCTTCAGAAAATATGTTACCCCCTTTTCTAGCAGCTGCTAATTCATGTCCCAAAGTTGCTTTTTTTCCCCAAGAGGCAACTGGAGTTTCTTGTTTTTTCTTTGAAGACGTTTTGGCTTCTCATCCACCAAGAAGCTTCTTCAGCTCCGACTAGAGATGGTGGGGAATGGAAGGATTTATATTCCTTGCAAGGCCTCAAAACCAGAGCTGTGTTCATAGATGACACAAGAAGGATGGGTTGTTATAGAAACTGTGCCATATTATCCCCTGCAAAAATCTCTATTGACTAATTAATAACATTATCTTTCAGATAATAATGGGGGACAATATAAATAAGGTAAGAAGAAGAAAATTATGAGCAACTCACTCCTACCAATGCATGCTGACCTTCCTCATTTATTACATATTGTTTTTGTGATTAATCACTATGCTTTAATTATGTTCAATTTGCAACAATGAAAATACATCCTGCATACCAGATATTTACATTACGATTCATAACAGTAGCAAAATTACAGTTATGAAGTAGCAACGAAAATAATTTTATGGTTGGGGGGTCACCACAACATGAGGAACTGTATTAAAGGGTTGCGGCATTAGGAAGGTTGAGAACCACTGCTTTAGTGTAAAAAAGTGCACCATTTTTAATAGAGTGATGAGTAGGCAGAGCTAACCCAACGACACTAAAACTCAAGACTGTGTCTGTTCTACCTTGCTTCCAGGAATAAAGCAATATTTTATGGAATTTTCTAAAGGATAAACACTCTTTTGGGCTAGAGTTGCCATCTAGCCAGATCTTTGTTTTCCTTCAAAACAAGAAAAATCTTTCTGCCCATGCAATTACCCACAAGTAGTATGTTTGTAAAAGTAGAGTACTACCCTTTGGAAATACTTTTGGGGAAATCATGCTTATGATTAAGATGCAGCTCTCTGTTTTGCTCATGCAGAAAGGCCCTTGGGACAACATCAAGAATTAAATAGCCTACGTATCACAGAACCACAACCTAGAAACAACAAATATGTAACAAGGCTGAAAAGAGCATAAACTGAACGTATTCTCATAGTGAAAGGGAAAAGAGGCTGACATAAGTATTGTAGCAAGAAATAAAATCTTATTGGTAATTCACATAGAGATACTTTTTTTGGAGAAACCCAAACTTTTTGGCAAGAGATCTTCAGTTAGATGCATTTATCAAAAGGAAAGAAGCCTCAAATTTAGATGCAAGTAGCTACAGTACTGACTTTATATGTTCAGCACTCTTGACAGCAGCTGCACTTGTATCTCATCCATAAGAAGTCATGGAATTTGGAAAGATCAATTATAAACAACTTCAGAAGAACTCTAATCCTTTCCTAATTCAGTATGCCGCCTGAGAGGCTATGAGATAAGACTATGGAAATGAATTCCTAGTACACTCTATATAACCTATCAACCTCTAAGTGACTCTTGGTATATATTACATTCTGCAAGCAATATTTTCAGATCAGCTAAGATATTTTTTATGCTTAAATCACCTTGCAAGGCTCTTTTTGTTCCATCTAGAATCTCACCCTCATTATGAAAAGTAGCCAGTTAATGCAAAAATCTTTAATGCAAAGAGTTAAACTCAGTCACAGCAAACTTTGCTAAAAATCAAGAATGCAATTTTTCAAGGCCTCTAAAACAGAGAAAGATTGTTCAGTTGGCAAAAGTATGCTCGTCTCTGAGGCCTCGGGACTAAAAGATCAAAAGAAAGAGAGGGAAGAAAGAACAGAGTTGCATTGACCCACAACAGGGAGGAACTCTTACAGAAGTTAACAAATTAACCTCAAGTCGGAGAAGTAGAGGAAGGTCAGTCTAGTGATCTTCAGAACAGATAATCAACACTGTGGGATTATAGTAACCGTAAACAGTGACTGATACCAGGAAATAAAGCACAACTCATTACATCTGGGATGCAATGGTTGTGCAAGGGATCCTATCTCCTTTCCATATCTTCCTAAATAGAGAGTCATTTCATGTTTTGTACACCACTTTCAAGCATGACCGTGTTGCCTGATTTGTAAAAAGCCTTCAATGAATGCAAAATATAATCCAGAACCTGGATTACTCACTACATGCCTACAATATAAAGCAGACAAACTGAACAGAAGTTTTTAAATAACCTAAGGCTTATTGCTGCTGTTTTATTAATTCTGGGAAATGAAACCAGGATAATAAGATAATTGAGCTATCTACAATACTTTTAACACTTCCACTACAAGAATTTTCTTTTTCATAACCCTTTGACAATGGTAGTACTTTACTGACTAGTCAGGCCATATAGGAATACAAAATATAAAACACAGAATAGTATATAACAGCGGTCACCAACCGGTGGTCCTCAGAACATTGGTGGTTTGTGAGAAAATTTTGGTGGTCCGCAGAAAAATTATTTGCATTTTTATATTGCACTAAATACTATTTATCTTTTTTTTAAAAAATCATATTAGTAGTCCGCGGGATTTAAAATGATAAATTTAGTGATCCCTGAGGTCCTAAAGGTTGGCGACCCCTGGTATATAAGACCATTATGTTAAAAATAGAATAAAAGAAATAAGCATAAAAAATTGGCATAATTTGGTACAGAAATATTTGTTTCCAAAAAGCAAGGCAAATGAGAAGAACAAAATCTGTTCGGGGCACATATTCAAACTTTCAGTCCATATTAACACCATATTTTTCTTAAGAAGAAAAAGATTAGAATGAGACATGAATTTTTCTCTCTCGCTTAATACCCCATGCACTTTGCAAAGCTGTAGTCATATAAACTAAAAATAACCTGCACTGTAGTATCACAAGACAGTTGAGTTGAGTAATAAGCACGGGCAGTTAATGTGCCCAAATAAGAACAAGATACAAGTGCTTGCAGGCAGAGGACAGATCAGCATCTTCCTTCATTATTTACCAATCAGTGGCTCTACAGAGAGATAATGTTTCCCACATTCTTTTAAGAACTAGGAGACAGGCTTTGGAACAATTATTAAACAATGCCATGGCAAACATGGAAGATTGGCTAAATCAAAGGCTATTCTGTTTGGCCTGTGGGACGTATGGAGCAAAAATGTGCTACTCAATGTAAGGAAGGACAATGTTGCCTTGCTCAAAGGAACCAGTAATGTAGTTTTAAAGGAACTAATCAAGGATAAGCAACTTTGTATCCAAATAATGCTCAAATTTACAAAGGAGTTTTAGTTCTTAGAAATCCACCTTAGGTGTCTTTCTCCTTGCTGCATCCTGAAAGATTCATTTAGCTGGACAAAAACTCTTAAAATACATTACTATATAGCATTAGAAGTAGCTGAAACCAACACCTTCCAATTATTTAAAAATCTTGGTCCTGAATTTATTTGTCACTTGGTACGATTACAGACAATGCTCTGTTTTCAATTATTCTTAATTAGATGATCCTGAGAAATACTTCCTATTGCTCAAAGACTACAATACTATATAGCTATTCCCTTCTTAGCTGATATTAAACAATATTGTGAGGATTCCATCTGTAACAGATTATCTTTAATTAGAAAAATGCTGGTAAAAAATCATGAGACAATTATTAATGAACGATAACACTGCTTGTTCCCCCTTAACATTTTGTGATAGAGAAACAATAAAACTCTCATCCAGAAGAACCTTAGCTCCAAGAAAGTGAATTATTACCGAGTTAAATCCGTAAGAATTAGCATAAGGAAATCTCACTGATCAGAAGTGAGCATAAGTGAACACATTACAGAAATGTAACGTGTTAAAAAATAAAGAGGGCTTAAGCCAAATAAAAATATCACTACGATTCTGTAGAATTCCAGAATGTTTTGTTTATTTCTGGACAATGCTGAACCTCTCCTGGCTTTTCAGGGTTGGTCCAGCAGTTTCCAGAAGTAACTTCTTGGAAGTACGATTGCTTTCTGGTATTCCAGATATTGCATTATGAATAAAACAGGCACGTTTTAGGGCTGGATCATAGACTTAGCATGGTCTGGGATGAAACAGAATGTTTTCCAGATCAATGAATTCTGCACCCATTCTAATATTCAGTATCCTCCTTCATGTTAATGCTGCCATTATTTTGTCAACAATCCATTATTCCACACATTACCAGGTATTAGAGGACCAGTGAGATAGATTTTCGCAAGTTAGAATAAAAGAGCTATTGATAAAATAACCTACATTCAAAGCAAGAAGCATTTCAAGAAATTCTAGCACCACAAGATATCAAGCCATTTCATCTTCATCCTTCATTTGATTAAGATATACAATAGTAATTGGTGATCTTAAAAACAAAGTATTTTATAATTTAAAAAAAACTGAATGAGTGATATAACTACTACCTGAAAAAGAGTCATGCCATCGTCGCTCAGAATGGATCTGGGTGGTGTAATAACTACAATGAAAAACAATATTTTCATTAGGAAAGAAGATGAAGGAAACAAAGGGGGTTTAGGGAAGGTCTAGGCACAGTGAAAGTGAGTTATATGTCTCACAACCTTATATATAAATACAATGTAAATGTAAAAATCATTTTCTCCAAATCAACAGCAGCAACAGATGCAGAATGTTATCTGTAAAAATTATAAAACATAAATCTGAACTTACACAAATAAAATGGTATCTCTGGATTTACAAGGAGACTTTTCACAAATGCCCTCAGAGCACCAACTGTTAAATAAAGCAAAAAAAAAAAAAAGGTTTAGTATGAGCTGCACATACATTATGAGCACCATCCTCTTTGATGATATATTTTAAAGAGAATACCAACTTAGTCTTATCTCAAAGACTGACACAGTAGAAAGCAGAAACTTTAAATTACCACCATCTTTACTGAGTTCACCCTTTGATTCCAGCATCCATGTGGAACACTTTGTTTCTATATTTAAAATCTCCTTCTGCATCCTTGGAAGACTGGCTGGTGAAATGTTAGCTATCTTTCGACTATAAAAAAATTGTTGCAGGCAACAAATAAAATTGGTTTATTTATACAAGCTCTTCCAGCACATTTGCCCAGAGCTGCGATGGCGCAGTGGTTAGAATGCAGTACTGCAGGTTACTTCTGCTGCCTGCCTGCTGCCTGCAATTTGGCAGTTCAAATCTCACCAGGCTCAAGGCTGACTCAGCCTTCCATCCTTCCGAGGTCAGTAAAATGAGGACCCAGATTGTTGGGGACAATATCCTGTCTCTGTAAACTGCTTAGAGAGGCCTGTAAAAGCCCTGTGAAGCGGTATACAGTATAAGCCTAAATGCTATTGCTATCCCAAACTGACAAGGCTTTTTTGTATGGTTTCTGTCTTATAATAATGAATTATCTAATATATCTTGCCTTCAGAAACAGCTGAAGCAGCATTGCTTACCTGAGAAATATATAAGGAAAACATTTACTAGTGGAGATTGGGTACTGCCGTGATGGTAGTGAGAGATGATACAAAGAATATGACTACTTCTAAGTAGAGGTAATGGCCAAACCATTCAAAAGCAGAAAGTAATACAGTGAAGACGCAGTATTGTATATTTACATTCTCCCAAATCAGCACGTATAAGAATTGGAGATCCAGCTAAATCTCCAGATAAGCCCTCTATATAATCTATATAGCATGAGAAGTTGGTGGTATAAACTATCAGACACTAGGATTGACTGCCTCAGAGGCTGGTGGATTTCATCATTAGACATTTATAAGCAAAAAACAGATAATCATTTATTAATATTGCTATAGCAGTAAATTTGCATAGAGTAGGAATGGATTCTCTAGATTCCCTTCCAATTCTATGATTCTAAGCCAGATCTCTTATCTGATATATTCCACCTAACCTAACTCAAACATCCTGATATAAGAAAGCAGAAACATTAAATTTACCTACTAACTTAGTCACTGCTTGGAATGAAAAGGTAGCTGGACCTTTGTACCATATTGTGCCTATGTGCCCTTTCCTCCTCTGCGGATCCTGGCGTACCTCCTGGATTATGGAAAAGCTGAGAAATCTTTGTGTTGCAAACCAATTACCTCTTTTCTTGGATCAGGAGGCTCTGCCCATGGACATTCATTGTCACCTCCAGAACAGACTACTGAATAGACTAGAAAACGAGCTGTCCCTGAGGCTACCTTTTAAAGGTATCCGTAAAAATGAAGTTGATCAGAATGGAGCATATCCTGTGGACAATTATGGCATTTTACCTTTGCTACACAAACCATACTGACTCCCGATAGACTTGCATGTGCAATTCCAGCTGTTGTTTGTCACCCACAAAGGATACTTGAAGCAGCACAACCCTGTGGTGGTCTCTATCTGCTGGATTAGATCCAGCAGGAGAGGTATTTTGTGAGTCCAATCAAGTAAAGAATATCATTAAGTTTCAGGCCTGAGAAGAATTAAACTGTGAAGTAGGCTATGCACCCAAAGAGATGTCCTTCTTTCCCATTGAAGAGGGACATCTCTTTGGATGCATATCCTACTTTGCAGTTAAAACTTCCTAGATTTTGACTATTTAAAGGTGCAGGGAGTCTGGTTTTCCTCTTGACATCCAGCATATTGAAGCAGAGTGGTTGATTCAAATTCTTTCCAGTATTTCCAACTCTTTTTTGGGCTCTGGCTGAATCTATGCTAGACCAACACCCTGTTTGTTCAATGGGCTCATCTGGGCACGACTAATGCCATGGTAAGTGGTCTGAAAAATAAGCCAGCAGGCAGATGTAGGAAACACATTCTGTTTAGAAAACAATTTCAGCGATCTTCCATACAACTCAATTTTCCATACAACAAACGTTTAAAATAGCAGTAAAATAAAGCAGCTAGAGACGTGTAAATCTTTTTAAGTCACAAACGTTAGCTTGATAGCCAAGCACTGTTGGTCTTTTTCAGTTTGATTATTTATATAAAGCAGAAGATGGGAGATAAGATATACTCCTACCTGTTTCACTAGGGTGAAAGAAACCTTGCAAAATGTGACGATCTGGGAAGTAAACACGTAGTACCACCTAGTTGAATGCAAAGAATCAGGCATCTACTCACATAAACAAAAACATTAGCTTCATACATGTTTGAATAATACCAGCCCATTTTCAAAAACTTGCTCCTTTTCATGAATGGACAGTGTAGCTCAGAGAGACCATACATGTAGTTTTCAAGAGCCTTTTTAGAATGGTTGAAACTGACTCACACAGATGTTTTAAAACAAAGTGCAACATAAAAACTGATTCTTGGACTACTCAGGGATAGCAATGTTCAGCTGAAGTAGCAGAGATGGAAGGAAAAGCATAAGTGTGAATTCAAATCTTATCCTAACTAGAAATTAATTACCGGTAGGTAATTTCTGGATTTGATCAGGAAGGTTGTACTTGAAAAGCATTGTATAAATGCTAGGTATTCTCACTTCATTTTAGCAACAGAACTCTTGTATCTCACACCAAAAGAACAAAGAACATGCAGAACAAAACATGCAAGAAATCTGTCCACTGCCCTGCTTTAAAAATTCTTTTATGGGGAATCCTAAAACAAGACAACACTTACTGCTATTCAATGAATATTCCAGTTCTTCCAATTCATGTAAAAAGAAGCAAAAACAGTAGTAGAAGATTTTTTTTTTTGACAGGGCCACAGATATTTACTACTTATATGTTCCTTTAAGACACTTAGACCTCTATATTTCTAATTCTGTGGAACAATCACAATCATACAAAAAAAGTTTACCTTTGGATAACGCTCTAATTTCTCCTTCGTTTGAGCTTCTCGCTGTGCCTTTGTCATCAAGGGAACTTCTTCTAAACACCTCCTAAGAAGAGACAAGGCTTACCAGACTGCCATAAGTGGAGATCAACTCAACCCTGTTATGCTACTCAATCATCATATGCTACTCAATTAAACTTCTGTACCTATTCATTCTGATATGGTCCTTTTGCTATATTAACCTCTGTGTATAAAAGTTCCCTAGCACAATAAAGCTTAGATTGTTCAATAGACAGGTGCAATTTGCATCCTGCAAAACCTGCACAAAGTCATTTTAACGAAAACTTGTCATTCTATTTTCCTAAATATATAATCAGACAATTAATTTTGAAATACTGGAAATAAACAACCATATTTTTACATAGCATACCTATGCCCCATAGGTAATGACTGCATCAGTATTTCTTGATTAATAACAAATTTAGACGGTCATAATGGATTGCAGAATTTGTTTTAATGAAGAATAATATACCATCTGCAAAAGACTTATATATATCCTTATCATTTTTCTCCCGGAGGATAGCAACTTATATACTGCTTCACAGAGCTTTATAACCCTCTTTAAGTGGTTTACAGAGTCGGCATATTGCCCCCAACAATTTGGCTCCTCATTTTACCAACTTTGGAAGGATGGAAGGTTGAGTCAACCTGGAGCCTGGTGAGATTCAAACTGCCAAATTTCAGGCAGCCAGCAGTCAGCAGAAGTAGCCTGCTGTACTGCACTCTAACCACCGCACCATCAATATATCATAAAAGCTGGAATTGCCATAAAAGTTGTATTTCTTTTTTTTTTTTTTGTAAATATTTTTTATTTATTTTTTCAAATTTAAACATAAAAACATAACTTTCAAGAGCAAAAGTCTCGATCCGGTCATAGATGGTTACCACGCTTACATTCCTTTCACAAGCTCAATTCACAATTTCCATTACATCTTTTATAAATAAACAAAAAAAGAAAAAAAAAGAAGATAAAAAAAAAAATTCAAAACTTAAGAAAAAACCAATTTTACCTCGAATTTCACATTTTCATCTGTATAAATCCATTATATCTATCCAAAATTAGTTTCGAATTCACTTTCACTCATTTTTACATCTGCATAACAATTCTAAACATATCTTTATTCTTCTTTACCTTATATCTTATACAAGTCTTATCAAAATAATTTTTACAATATTCTAACCTCTTGTTAAGTGTTTACCTTACAATTTTATCACCATTTATTCTTAGTTTCAATTCAATACCACTCCATTTTTATTATATTTTATAAAACAACATTTTATCTAATTTTAATCCTTTGACCCTTATCCTCAAATCAGTTTACCTTAGGTTTTTTTTTTTCCTCCCAGTTTACATATTACCTGGAGCCTGGTGAGATTCAAACTGCCAAATTTCAGGCAGCCAGCAGTCAGCAGAAGTAGCCTGCAGTACTGCACTCTAACCACCGCACCACCAATATATCATAAAAGTTGGAATTGCCATAAAAGTTGTATTTCTGTTATTGTCTTATTTTAGAAAATTATTGTACAGGTCAGTATAATTTATTTATACATAATTTATCGATTTTTATGTCAACCTATAAAGGAATAATGTCAACTAAAAGGTAAATTTAATCTTATATATAATGCAACAAAATCCTATCCTACAATATCAAAAAGAACTGTTGAAAGTTAAGACAGACATAATTAATTTGGCATTTAAAATATTGATTCAAGACAGATAAATATAAAGTATTTATTATCAATGGAGAACTGACAGTGAGCTTATGAATACAACTTTGCAACTCTTCTCAGTCAGAGGTTTTCCAGATGGGTAATCCTTAACTCAGAATTCCAGCCAGCATGGTCACTGCTGAAATATTTGAGAGATTAGGCTCATGCTTCTAGAAAGTGACCAGTTTGGGAAGATGTCTTATAGACATATTTATTAAGGAACATGGTGGCTCAGTGACTAAGATGCTGAGCTTGTCAATCAAAAGGTCGGCAGTTCAGCGGTTCGAATCCCTAGCACCGCGTAACGGGGTGAGCTCCTGTTACTTGTCCCAGCTTCTGCCAACCTAGCAGTTCAAAAGCACGTAAAAAATGCAAGTAGAAAAATAGGGACCACCTTCGGTGGGAAGATAACAGCGTTCCGTGTGCCTTTGGCATTTAGTCATGCTGGCCACATGACCACGGAGACGTCTTCGGACAGCGCTGGCTCTTTGGCTTTGAAACGGAGATGAGCACCGCCCCCTAGAGTTGGGAATGACTAGCACATATGTGCAAGGGGAACCTTTACGTTTACCTTTATAGAAATTAATTTATAGCCTATCAGGTTTACAGAAATGAAAGAAAAACAGTCTATAAAACATATGAATATTTAGAAAGTGTCAATAGTTGGTATGCTTACAAAGTTTTAGTAAAAGCTAGAACAATAGAACTATGTTTTCTACAATTTAGCACACTATCTTTGCTCATATTAACACAAGTGATTTCATTCTATGTTATTTGTTTATCCCACTTTTTGTTCAGGAGCTCAAGGTAGTATAATCAAAATCCTCTGCTCCCACTTTTATTCACAAGCATCCTGTGAGGTAGATTGAGATGAAAGTGTGATTAGTCTCAGGTTACCCACTGCCTTTCTGCAGCTGAGGGTGGACTTGGACAGAGGTTTTGCTGGCGCCAGTGCAATATCCTAATCACTATTTTCAATGGGGCACCCTATGTTATCACCGATATAGAATGTGAAGTATTGTATTATTTTGAAATATTCTCTAGGAATTCTGTATAATCTCTTGCATCTATCAACAATTGGACAAGTCTGTCCTCTGTGGCATTTCTTCCCTGTATATAGTCCCATTATATGGATACTTTCTAGATTCTTTCACCTCCAGATGAAGACTCCAGATTTCAAACCAATAATATCACAATTCAGAGGACACAGATAATCTGATTTAAAAGTTGCTCTGACTTGCTTTTTGTATTAACACTTGTGAAGACTTTCTTTATCATCAAAGGGAACTAAATGTATTCACTGTCATATAAACAAAGAAACTATGAGCTTTGTTGACCATTTATCCATCATTCCAGTGTTTATAATAGATGCATCTAAGCAGATGACAATGTAAAAAAAAACTTCCAAGCAATTTTGTGACTTAGATGAATTGGCTGGTATTCCTGGAAACTAGTAAGAACTAAGAAAATCCTAGTCCAAAGAATCTTCAGCATTGCAAAGAGCAGAAATTGCCATCCACATATATTTGCCAAGGCTTTAGAGACAAAAAAGTGCATGGCTAAAAAAACTTTTCTACTTAAAAAGTTAAGTTACAAATTACAAAGAAAATTAAAGCCTACTGTCTAAATAAGATATTTACGGTACAGAAGTGGATTTATCTTCTACTGCTGAGTCTACATTCATATTTTCTTTGAAGTATTATCAAAGTACATGGTACTTTAATGTCTCAACAATCATGTTTAAGAAAATACTACATCAATGTTAGATTCTCTAGCATTAGAGGGAATCTGGTAATACCTTTTCCAACTAATTTTATGCTATTAACAAGTGTATTTTTTTTGTATAACAGAATAAAAGTATCTTCTCAATCAACAATAATGGTTGTAGTTGTTGAGATCTGTTGAGATTACCTGAAACTTTTTAATGCAAGTCCAGAAACTCTTGCTAAATGATGCTGTTAAAACCTTGTTTTTCATTTTGGAGAACTGTCTCATATGTAACCTGCAATTTGCATAACTCATATGTATTTCCCTACCTCCACTCCAATTTAAAAAGTGTAGCTCATAAAGCTTATGCCTTTTAATACAGTTTTTAATCAAAATAAGTGTTATTAAACTTGGTCTGGGTTTTTTTGCTATCATAGATTAACTAATATAGCTCTCCTCCTACAATGTTAGTATTTAGAGAAAAAACATTTAAGTTTCTGTCTAGGTAGGTGAGCATACAACTAGAAGACTACATGCAAAATCTCCAAGAATATGAAGAACATTTAGTACAACTGGGAAGCAAATCCTGAGCATATTCATTGTTTAGGATTCCATCAGAATCAGAGAAACAATCTATATTGTATGTACATTGGCCATAAAAATTATTACTTAACTACTAGTGAAAAATAAATTTACCTTTCATTCTGTAGCTGGGCCAAACGTTTTCTCACATCATCTACTGTAACCTCAAAGAACTCATCAGGGAGATCTTGTGAATCAGAATCCAATGGCTCTTGAAGATCAGGATGGCACACAATTGGCTCTCGATCCAAATGCTGTAGAGTGAATATAAATTAAAGCTTGATGCTTGAATTGTGCCATCAAGGCACAGAATCCACATAGCACAAGGAATATAATCTTTGCACTTAGAAAAATGTGGGTTTTGTGATAACATATACATTTCTGAGCAATATATTTAATTTTTTTATTTACATACATAACTTCATAACTGACTTATGATATGATCTTTCCTAATTTAAATTCCTGCCCTAATTTTCACAGAGTATACATTATATAAAACGGCACCATCCTCAGAATTCATGTTTGACTACAATCTGTCAATCTATGTTAGAGATATATCATACATTCTTTCTCAGGCAGAGAGGTTCTGATTCTAGGGGTTTTTAAAAATGCTACTTTTTGTATCCATATTATACAAAGTCTTTTGAACTTGAATTAGATTTGTAATCAAAGAGCCACCATGTCTTAGCTGGGTCTTTCTGGTGTCATCTAGTGATTAGCTGAAGTTTTATAGCCTGGATTTAGTAATCCTATGTAAGTAGGCAGGTTATTTAAAAATGGAAGGAAGAACTTTTTATTGGAAAACATTGATTGCCAGTTTATTTATTTATTTATTATTTATTTATTAGTCATATTTCTATGCCGCCCACTCTCCGAGGACTCTGGGCAGCTTACACCAAAAACAGTATACTAAATAGCATATTGCCCCCAACAATCTGGGTCCTCATTCAGTTACTTCTAAACATTTATTGATACTTTTAAAACCTTTGAAATATTATAAAATGAATATAAATAATCACATCATCCAAACAGTAATACATAGAGTTTATTTATTATGTTGCTTGATTTGGGTGCTTTAGCAGCTCTCAAAAAGACCAATTGTTTCAAATAAACTGGAAAAGGTTTTATGGAAATCAAGCAGCAACTTAATATTATCAACAATTTTAAAAAGATTAAAATAAAATTGGATAATAAACAAGCTATTTGGAACTAAGAAAAGATTATTTCCAGTTTTAGGAAATAATCAGGGTAGTTCTTTCAATGTAAAACCTACATTAGTTTCACATTTTTTAAAAAATACTGCACTTTCCAATGGATGTTCCCAAAAGGTTGGTTACCTTTTATTCTTCTTATATTGGAGATGCAATATATTCAGAGGAATATATTATACCATTGTAATTTTTTTTATGACACTACCATATTATTATACTGATACACTATTTTTATTTGGATTTTTCCCTTTGTTTGTTTTATTTTTTGTTTGTTCTATTTAGTTCTTTTTTAATCTTATTTTTAATGAATAGTTTGGAATGAAATTAGTAAATTAGTAAATTTTATTTTCAACAGGTATTTGCTGTACAGTACTACAATATTATTATTACTAATACTATTACTATTACTATTACTATTATTATTATCATCATTATTATCATCATCATCATCATTATTATTATTATTAGCAAATGTATTTCAATACAGCCTGAAACTATGTATCACTTATTCTTGTGTAAACATAGATTTACCCATGGAAAGATGTCAATCAGATAGATAAACCTGCTGTAGAAAATCTAGATTCAGGAAAGACTAAACAGTACAGAAATTACTGTACAGAAGTGGCTAGAAAGAAGAGAAGACCGCTTCCTTAGCACTGACTGACTAAAACGCCCACTCTGATGTAGTTACACAATAAAATCTACTAAATGGAACTGTGCTATATTACAAGTAAAGTTTCCATTCAGTGCACAAAACTTTCTTATTCATGGGCTAGGTTCTGCTAGTTCTGCTAGATTTAAGTAAATACTGTGCAATGAAACTTGGCTGACACATTATGAATCCAGAGCTATAAAGCGATGGCACCAGTTGGTCTGTATGGTTAATAGGCTGCTTTGAAAACTAGCATTTTTGACCATCAATGATCTGCCTGGCCTGGCCTGGCCCCAGACTCCATGAACTTGGGATAGGCCTATTTTTAGTCACCCATTCCCCCACATCTTGATGTCTCTAGCATACCCTGTTTTTGCTCGCCTTCCCACCCATCTACTGTCCTATCATCCTGACTTCTCTCCAGCAACACCACCCCTCCCACCCTGAACAAGCCCTCTGGGAATAGAAGGAGCCTCTCTCAATTATCAGTAGAGACAACATAAATTACAAGGCAAGATTTCCTCTATTTGTGGGCACCAGAGGGTAATTTGGAAAGTTAAAAGAGTGAGGTTGCGTGGGTGGACCCTCAGCTACTTTTAGAAAGTTGAAGAGAGTCAGGTCTAACTAGAGGGTGAAGGAGCCTGATTGTAGCTTTCCCTGGGCAGAAAGCACAAGGAGTACCCACGAGCTGCCAATCTGTCCTTTCACAATGACTACTGTCGCCTGACTCTAGTTGTTTAGAGACTGGGCTGCAGCGTAAATGAGCAATTGTCTTGAACTGAGAGTCATGGACTCCTCCTCCTGGATTAGAAGAAAGAGTTGACAACTAATTTGACAAGTAATTTGTCACTTGCCACCATTCAATATAAATGGAGTTGAGGGTCACTATTTCCAATTATTAGAACAGAATAAATAATGGGTGGTGGTGGTGATGTTATGGGACTGCATGGTAGTCCCTAACAATTTCTATTGATGCCTGATAAATAAATTTCACACAACTTCTCTTAGATTCTCCAGAAGACCAAATAATTAATCCAGAACCAAATGCCATCCACTATCTTCCACTATATATATTTTTTATTTATTATGGCAATAGCAAAGAATAGCAAACTAAAATAGGTAAAGTAAGGAACTCACAAGAAATAGCAAATATAGTAATTGACACAAAAGAATGTTTAGCTTAAAAAAATTAACCACGAGGGTGACATTTCAGTTTCAGAGGCAGATACCTCATTCATATAACCAGTTTATTTTATGCTATTTCCTCTTCCAGCTGGTCTTCTATGCCCTACGTAAAACTTATTATATAAGTTATACAGCATGCCTAAAAAACTGAATTTTCTATCACTTCAATATAATTATCCTGAGAAATTGTAATTGGCACTGAATGTAGCTTGGGAGACAGGGCTTTCAAATAGAAAGCATTGAACTTTTAACTCTCCTCATAACAGCAATGACTTCCAAAATCTGAAGTGAGTTCCAGAAGGGCTATGTCTAGAAACAAGTAATTGACTTGAGGATGAAAACAATGCAACACATTCCTCTCTACTATTAAACAAACCCAAGACACTGGCAACATCCCACTTGGCTACGGCTTCCTGCCCAACACTGAAGACAAAAGCACGGGTCCTCTTGTATTCAAAGCCGCTCTAGTAGACCACCAATACAAAGTCAATTGCCAGACCAGCACTCTGTTTCAAATATGGAGCTACAGACTGATGAATAATAGTTCAGTTTCCACAATGCGGTTCTTAGAAGCAATTCTCCAATTACAGGTTCCAAAAAAGGAGGACAAGCAGCAGCTACACAATACATATAGCACGGACTGGGTAACAGAATGATTTGATGGATAATCTCTTTGAACTAGACAGTTCTTCCATTCCAGGAATTACAACACAAGGCAGTTAAAGGAAAGATAAACATAAACATATTCGTCTTTTTCACCTATTTTGGTTTTGATTTCCAAACTCAACCTATGACAGAATCTTCAACACTAGGATTATTATAGTGCTGTGGTCAAGCCACTCAAAGCTATCTATTACCCACCTAAATGTTACTGTGCTGCACAATTAAAAGGTGAGGGGCATGCTACAACTTCCAAAAAACATGCTGGATATGACTGAAACCTCCCACATTGCAGAATTCTTCTGATCTCTAGGGGAATAGGGAGTGAAGCTACCTTCTAACAATTAATGTTTTGACATCAAAGTCAAAGCATAGCTTGTCTGTGAACCAGTCCTAGCCCAGAAGTGGAGGGACGCCGGCACAGATTTTATCCAGCTTCTTCCATCAAATTAAAAGGAAAAAACTCCACACACAAGCACAACGTTAATGGGAAGATTCTTTTGCTAAAATGGACCTTTGATGTTTAAAAATAATTTGTTTTGTTTTGTTTTCCCCCCTTCTCCCCCCCCCCACTAAAAAGGGACAAAAAACAGATGCCATGTGGCCAGCCCCATTCTAGGGCTGTTGATGAGAGCAAGAGAAGGGAATGGAAGGAATGGAGGAGGGAGTGCAACGTAATCAATCAGCGGCAAAGGCACCCAAGATCAAAGCGCCTGAAAGCAGCAGTCAAAGTCACACGCTGTTTAATATGAGGGAGGGAAGGCTCCAGTAGAACCTGCAGCCACTCTAAAGACAGCACTCTACCATGTCTGAGAAGGCAGGCTCCAAGAGCATCTCTTAAGTAGTGATTTTGATTTTGGCAACATAAGGCGTTGGTCAAGGTTATAGCAGGGGTTCCCATGGCTACAGGCAAAACAATGTAAGAGGGTGTATCCATGTCTCAATCTAATATCAGAACTGAACACATCAACCATACGCAGAAATATTAAATGACGGTCTTCGTCCAGCTCCTAATAACGAAGTAGAACAGCATTCATCATGAACTGTGTTACACCTAAGAAGATGAATGCTCTAGAAAATTAAAACAAGAGATTATGAATGATTTCAAGTCACACAGTTTGATATGTTCAAGAGTATTATCATTCACCTATGAAACTGTTTGCTATCATATAAATTATAAATAAATCACATAAAATAAACTGAAGGTTTAATTATTTCAGAGAATGTGACATAATTTTGTCTAAATTTGGGAGAATATATTAACACATAGGTTCAATTGTCAAGAGAACAGGCCTAGAGAACTTTCTCCTCCCAAAGAACACTGTAAGCAAGCTAAACTGCTACCTCTTTTTGCTCCTTTAGTTTTTCTTGGCTGTTCTTTGACTTCTTTGGCTTGGAAGGCCCTCCAGGACTGGACAGAGAACTTGGTTGGTTTGTCAATACTGGAGATAGCATTGGTGTGGGACAGCCGCCACCCAGGTACTGACCACTGCCCATGAAAGGGACAAATGAGGTAGGCATAGGCTCTGAAGGAGGATGAAGCTCCTCTGAATTATCCTGAGATTCTTTATTCCAGTTCTGCTTATCAGTACATTGGTTGGTAAGTGCAGCCTCACTTGAGCAGGATGAGCTTGGAAAGGCAGGCAGGTGTGCAAAAGACACAGCCTCTGGCTCTTCTGTAGAAGCTGACCTTTCTGGTACTTGTTTAGAAAGGATTTCATTGCTCCCACCTTCTGCATTATCAGAGGAAACAGCCTTCTTTGTGTTCACTCTATTAAAATAAGAGACATGAAAAAGAAGGCTTAAGTATGTGTATGCATAGACAGGAGAAATTATTTTCTTTTTCGGTCAAAAAGTACAGAAATATGTGGTCAATTATATTATTGGAAAATGGGATTCAGGTTTTTTTTTCAGTAACAAATGAAGCATTTCTCACACAGACTGTAACAAAAAAGGAACAACAGACTGAGATACTCTGCCAAATTTAATGAAGTTTAAGTTTGATAAAGGGCAATTCTTAATGAACAGGGAATTTAACTCTTTTTGGGAGTATTCTTGAAAACAATTCAGATAACCTTAGCTGGCACAGGTGTCTAATTGCAAAATGGGGTGGCTAAATAAGGAATATATGGTAATGAATGCAAAGCCCTGTGCCAGCTCTTATAATTTTTAAGTCTTATTTTAAAAGAATGACATTGTTCTATAATGACTTGGGGAAGGCCTACTTGCTATCCTACTGATGGTTTTCTCACAATGCCAAAGGACTACCATGTCTCAATTGTGAAATTATCTCCCAAAAGAAGTACAATCAGTTCCAACTGTTGTTTTAAAAGAAACTGAAGATATACCTATCATCAAGGCATCAGAAAGGAAACATCAATTTTAGGACCAGATTGCCTTTTCAAATATTTTAATCTTACATTTTTATTGCTTTACAATAGATTATTATATTTCATTGTTCTTTTTGCATACTGCTCTTGTCTCCTTCAGGATGTAAACTGGTGATATATACTATAAATAAAACAGTAAATTAAACACCAAACAAAATACCAGATACTGGTCAGAACATTAAATATCAACAAGGGGGGGGGAGGCACTTTCACTGCTGGCAAACAAACCTAATGAAGGTCTTCAAAAACATGCCCTTAAATGCTCACTCCCACAAAAGTAAATTTATCCCTTGGGCAAAAAGAAAAGAAAGAAGAAAAAAACAAAAAGGGAAAGGGGAAAAAAATGGAAATAATGCTCTTCCCTACCTGATAATGGCATTGCCTCCAGTTAGACCAAGCGACTTCAGACTTGTCTTCTCCAAAGCAGTTTTCCCAGATACCTACAATGGAAAACAACATACAGTACTGTTTTATCAGTTCTGAAAAGGCAACTCGCTCAAAAGTTATTTGAATACTTTAAGTATCAAAGAGTAATATATAGCACTCTGTCTCACGTACTCTTCCTCTAAATGCTTCTAAATAGTTCTGTTTTTGTTGACCCTTGTTCAGAGTGTTAAGGATTATTTTTTTTAAAAAAAATGTTAGTTTTGTATAAATAAAATCCCACATTCCATTTTTGACATTTGCATTTAAAGAAATCTTAGACAGCAGAACTGAAAAAGACCTAATTGGAGATATTGGAATCTACCACTAGCCTTGATTAACCATTCCTCCAATTTGGAATTAAGCAATTTCATAAGTTTATGCTCTTCCTATCTTCAAGTAGTAAATTAAACATGCCCAACTGCATTTAGCTATATGATGACAAGTTTATCCTGAGAGGAAGCTTAGAAGAGGCTTATTCTGCCTATCCACTCCTCCCCCACCTCTTTCAGTATTCCACTTCCAGGATAGCAGAACTAACACTGATTACTATAAGGGTGATCTGTTCAGTACCTGGAAGGAGAGGTTGGCATTTATTCTACGGTAGGTGATGAATGACTCTAAAGTACTGACATATAAAAGCATTAAACAAAAATAAAAACCCCGCAGAGATCAAAACAAGGAAAAAGCAAATATTTATTAAGCTGAAACCACTGTTGTGAGTCTCGAGTTTTATAAGAACTTGAAAAAACACACAAACAGATCATTGAGTATATTTTATGGGTTCAAAGGCTTGAGCTAAGCAGCCCATGATTATGTTCCAGCAGGGTTTTTTTTTCCCCTCACCCCACAAAATACTTCAAACTTTGAAGAGACTAAGTCCTTCCAATTTCCCTTCTTCAGTGAGTCAAAAGGAGGAACTCATTTTCCAGACTGGAAAGCTATGCAGAGTAATTTTGTCATTTTCAGTGAGAGATGAAGGGGAATGGCGGAGAAGTGGGTTTGTTGACTTACTTCGTCTCGCATGTAAATACAGACAGGGGACACTTCACTTTGCTCTTCCACATATTCCCTGCAAGGAAACATAAAAATGAAGTATGCCCTATTGAAGAAAACCCTGTTCTGGTGTCAAAAGTCCCAAAACAAATCTAATGTACAGTCTGTGAATTTTCTAAGCTTTTTCAGAGAAAAGTCTACAGATAGCCCCGAGTAGCTTACCAATATTAATACTCAAGGGTTTCGTACCCATCTTCCATTTACCATAACACAAAAGGCCTTGCAAAGCTCAGATACGTTCTTCCTCTCTTTCTCATCCCAACCCACTACAGAGTCAGACTGAGGTTGTATTCTGCTGAAGTGGTATTTTCTCCCTTCTTCTAACTTAACTCTTACTGTATATAAACAATCTATGTAACTTCAGTGAGAAGGATGGCAATAATATGTCCAGTTCCTATTGGCCATTAAAACAAGCTTCCTGCCTGGTTAATGACCACTGTCTTCTATCACCATTTTGGGTTGTAGGAAACACCAAGACTGTCTGGTGCAATTTTAGTGTTTTGTTTTTGTTTTGTCAAAGGACTATTGACCTTCATGAAGAATACCTTATATACCTTTGTGGTAAAGCAACACAAACTATTATTGAACAACAACAACAATAAATAAGAACAGTTGAAGAATTCCAAGGTAGATGAATATAAGGAAGCAATAAAGCAAATGAGTGCTGGCTTAAATCTATATGTAAACTATTACATATACAGGTGATCGTTATCTGAAGTCTCTTTGGTTTTTTTATATCTTCAGTTGGCAAGTTCAGACTGTCTGAACACTCTGTGTTAACATGTTTTGTGTATCTGCCATTTTGGGTGCGTGGTTCTGAGCCATCTGTCATTTTGCACATGTGTAGAAGTATGAATTGGGCCTCCAGCTCTCTGATCTTTCAGGAATCTGCTACCATCAGTCTAACCAGTATTGATCCCATCATTGTACAGCTGTACAACTACAACCCTTGTAGTTAACAGTCAACTAGATAGTGATTTTAGATACTTGGTAAAGATTAAAATATCCAGCAATGTAGTATCTATAAAAAAATAAAAGGCTTTCAATTCAATACCCAATACCACTAAACCAATAGTTAAGTTTTCAGGACTGAAAAAAAAAGCAACAAAAGTTTAAATCTAACAAGACTGAACCTGAAGTGACTTGATGAAAAAAACTCAAAATAAAATAATAAAAATTAGTGGAACAACAAATCTTCTAAGATCCAAGCTTTCTATATTAACTCAAGCAGAAAGCATCCAACATAAAAATATAATATGTCCTTCCAGAAGGCAATACCTGCCAAAAGACTTATAGAAACGCTGTGGAAAGATGAAAGTATTATTTTTAAATTTACGTAAACTCTTATTACTGACTCTTACAAATGGAAATTCCCGTTCTTTATAGTTTTTTCTTCCAATTATGACCATAACTTGAATTCCTTTATTCTTCTGCCAGAAGCAGCCCAATATGTTTTGAAATAGCACTCCCACTTTTTTTCCACATATAAAGATGCTGAACGGATTGGCAGTTGAAACTTCAGCACTGGAAATGAAAAATCATATTTAAATGTGCATGAAGACAGCAAGTCATATGGCACACAGCCTATTTGCCAAAATTGTAAATCAGTGCCACTTACTATCTCCTAGTATCTGCAGCATAATCAAGCTATCTCACTATGCCTAATAATTGGGATAAATAGATTTTGCATATCTTCTATCTCTTTTTGCTTACATGTGCATTTATCTCGTTTCCTGCTAATTCCAAAGACATTTTTTGGACTGTGTTGAAATTCTCTACAAGTCTGAAGACAACATGTGTGGCCCTTCAGACTTTCTCTACCAATGATCCTAATGGAAAAAAATACTATTTAAATCTATGTTATATTTATGATAGAGAAAAAGAGATACCTTCCTTTTGCAAACATTTGTAATTTGGGAGGCAGGGGAAAGCAGGCCTAACAGATCAGTTCTGCCACACAGAGAAAAAATAAAATTATCCAGAAAGTACTTGGTCAAGGTAATAAAGGGTATGTCAATATTAAGGGACAAACTAATTTATTAGATTTATATGGCTGCCATCTCAAATACACAACTCTGGGCAGCCAACAATATTAAAAATAAATAAAACCACATTTTTATTAAAAATAATAAAGTAATAAGTTTCTCAAGACAATTTTGCTGCAGAAATTATTAAAAATAAACATTCAGAAACTTGAGTAATCTGCCAGCAAGTATGCTAATGATAAACTCCTAAGTATATCCTTAACTCAGAACATGACATGAATGCTATGATCAATAACATATTAAAGTGTAAATCAGAAAGGGAAGTAAGCATATTTTTTTTAATGTTAGCCCAATTAAAGCTCTTGAAATTGTGGGTACTATTTACTGAAGGGATGATTGGCAAAAACCAAGAGGTTGTTTCCTTATAGACTTATGGAACTATGAACGGTAGTATTTGCTTCCTCCATCTCCAGCTTTCAGATGAGGGGACAATTAAATGTTACTGAATGGCAATTTTAATTTAGTGTCCCAATATTGTATTTGGAGTACAAAGGGATTCAACCTGAATCTGAAGCACCAGAGTTCTCTACTTAAATATGCAGATCAATTAATCTTTTATTGTATTTGTTTCCTTACTTCTAAATTATTTTCCAGTTTATGAGAAATATGCACATTTTGAAAAAAATATTTTGAGAGGGTTACAATTCTCACTTATCCTTAAGTTAAGCTTATTCATTTTTTTTCTACAAGCTATCTAACTGCAGAGGTGGGTGATCAGAGCCCTCAGGGTTGCTATTAACAAGAAAAGAATATTCAAGACATACTTCTCCAAAGTCACAATAAACAGGAACCAATTTATTTGCAGAAGATAGGATCACAGGCTTAAGATGCAAGACTAAGAATGCTATGATCTAGCAGACAAATTTCAAGAAAAGGGACATCTCTTTTAATTTCAACACCTCTGGCATTATTATCCAAGACTGTGCTCTCTGATCAAGTGTCTGCAAAAAACAACATACACAAAGATTCCCAAGAGATGGTTAGAAGCCAGCAGGCCCCTCCTCCAGCGACTGTTAATCCATTACGTGCATTCTCTGAGGCAAGCAGACACATCAAACACGCTGCCATTACTTTGATGTGCTGTTTTTCAGAAGGAGAACAGCAGGCAGATTAGATTCCCTCATGTAGGGATCTGACAGGGCCTGTAAACATCTTGTGTAAGGGCTAGAGCATGCTGGAGGAGGAGCAGCAGCAGCTCACAATAGCTTCCAGACCTTCTTCAGACCTAATTAGCAGAAATGGACACTAGGGACCTGGGGGAAAATTCCAGTGGGTTGACCACACTTATCCCCTTCTGCTCCAAGAAGAGGCACAGAGCTCTAACAGCATTCTCCATATGGGACGGTCAGAGAATGAGCTTTGAAGAGTTAGCAAGTAGACAAAATGGCTGGGGCTACCAGAATCTATTCTGAAATAAGCTATTTAGCCAGATACTTTATAAAAGACAGAAGTATTCCAGTTTACGGAATGTGAAAATGCAACTAGGAGTTCAAACTGCTACTAAGCTAGCTCATATATGGCTTTTTTTTTTTGTACTATTCCTTCAATTTTTAAAAAAGAAGTCATCCAAAACCCTTGTTCCATCCCACACAGTATGAGTGCCCAGTGGTGTTTCAGCAATTAAGAGAAATTGATACTTTTGTAATATTTACTATATCTTGGGCGAGTTAAGCCAAATTTCTTTACAGGAAAACCAATTATATTTAATATTTAAAATATTCATCAGAAAAACAAAAGCAAACATTGCATATGTTGGGAAAATATGCCTCAGTGAGTACCAAGTTCATCAATTAATTCCTCAGGTAAATACATGTAACTGCCTAGACAAAAGCAGAAAGTCTAAGAAATTAACTATCACCGCGGCTTGGTATTTTTTATTTTTTTTAATTTGATTTATACCCTTTATACTCTTCTCTGGAGACTCAGGGTGGCTTAGAATGCGTTAAGCAATAGCCTTCATACTTTTGTATATTTATACAAAGTCAGCTTATTGCCCCTACAAACTGGGTCCTCAATTTACCTACCTTAGAAAGGATGGAAGGCTGAGTCAACCTTGAGCCTGGTGAGATTCGAACTTACAGTAATTGCAGACAGCTGGCGTTAATCACAATGCTATTAGTCTGCTGAGCCACCAGGCTTCTTTAAACTGAAGTGCTTGAAGATAGAAGTCTATATATTCAAAGTGCATGCTGTATTTCTGAGTTACAATCCTTCTATGAGTGCAAGGCTGTGTCTAGACATGAGACCTGTTTTATATTATCTGTTACTTTCTTTTTATTGTTTCAATAATTGAAACAAAGCATCTACACAATTCATTCCTATTAAGATTTTTTTTATACACAAAACCATTTTATTATATTCACTGCCAGAACTGTTAACAATATATAGTTAGAGATAAGAAAGAAATCTGTAACATATTCTTTAAAAACAGTCACAATTCACTAGATGCAGCAGAGTTAATGGCATCAGAATTTCATACATCTTCTTGTTGTGTTAAAAAAATCCAAAACTCCTCTCTGAAAAGAGGACTTGAAGGGCTATTCACCTGTTTAAGACTGCAGCCATATGCACACCATTTACACCTGCAGATTGGTTCAATTTGCTGCTAGGTTAGGAAAATTGAACACAAGACTGAAGTCTTAGTGATAGAACATTTTCTTTTGAAGATGTTAGGCAGGTGGAAGAAACAATGAGGGGGAGGAACAGAAGATCAAAAGAAAGAAAGAAGAGTGTTGCACAGTGAAACAAACAGCTGTGTACAAAATGCACATATTTCCCACTAACCATGCAATATTTTTATTGGATTAGATATCTGAACTGTTTTATCTAAATGTTACAGATTTTTCCTTTTCAAACACTAGGAATTATGAACATGCAGGCGCTTTAATTTTTTTTAAAAAAACCCTGAAATTTCAAATATTATGAGAAAAATTACTGAGTACCGCTAAACTACTGAAGATACTGTTTCCAA